TTTTTTTTTTTTTTTTTTTTTTTTTTTTTTCCTTTTTTTTTTTTTTTTTTTTTGGAGTGGTGGCGGGTTGGGGGGAAACAGTGATGGAGATAATGCATTCACAGAGATAAAAGCCACTAATCAAAGTTCAGAAAAATCATGCTTTGGAACTTACACTGGCACAAGGTTATTGCAGGCATGGCTTTAATGACGAAAAAATTTTCAAAATCTGGTTGGGTTATCTTTCAAGAATTCATGACCAAATTCATTAACAGCTTAGAAAGTCAATTCGTTCATCAAAACAGCACAATAATATGTGGGACTTTCTGGTCTTATACAAGTATATAAACACTTCCAGAAGTTCAAACGAAAAGCTAAAATGCCTTTTTTATTTCTTGACTTCAGATGATCTATGTATTAATCCCTTGCTCGAAAAATCTAAAACAGCTCCTTGATGACTACATTAATTGTTTAAAAAGAAATTTTCCAAACAAAATCTTGCTGAGAACCCCAATATATATCAGAGATAAAATCTATCTGTATTATTTAGAGAAAACATTATATTGTTTGTGGAATACTTGTAAAATAATTTGGGGCTTATGCAGAACACAGTTTGATAACTAATGGCCTACGTAATAATGTATACGTAAAAGTTCCTTACTTTTGCCTGGGTAGGTATTCTTTCATACATCTATCATTTTTTTTCCCTTTTATTCCTGCCTTTATTTTCTGTTCAAAATTGTTACTCATTCCCCTCACCTCTGTTTTATAAACTCAGTTCAAATGTTAATGACCCTACAAATTTTCCTTGACTTCCTCAGGCAGATTGTGCCTACCTTTCTGTGTACCTGAGGCACTTTGTCCACCTTTCAGTGGTTACCTCTTTTGCTATATTGAAACTTGTCTCCATATACCATACCCCTATCCCAACACATTTCTAACACGGTGTTTGGCAAATGTTTATTGAATTAATAAATGGAGATATCAGAGCTATAAGGATCTAGGACATATAGGGATGTTAACACTGGTTCTTCCACTTCTAAATCATACATAGTTCAGTTGTATGAATATGGATTCTGCCAAATGGACTGTTATTACCTAGTCTATAATTGTTTTCCAGCAATAGTGGGTGACAGACTGACTCATAGGAATACACAGTCTTGCCTTACCTCCTTATCAATTTTTGCTTTTAACCACTTGTGAGCTGGTTGTATGGGTGACAGACATTGCTTTCCATCAAAAACTAAAGTGAAGTTAGTTCACCCACATGAGAATAAACCCAATACTGTTTTCTTTAGACAGTGGCTTCAGAGTAAAGCACAGTGTAGAGCCCAGGCTAGCTTTCTTTTCTTTTCTTTCTCTTCTCCTTCTTTCTTTTCCTTTTTTTGAACACCAAGAGCCTGCTTGGATGAGGTTCGTTTGTCAACTATAACTTATTTACTTATTAGGCTCTTAATTAGTCTTGAATACTTGGATGGGTATTTTGGATTATATTAAGAATGTACAACAATATCAGAGCCAGAAATGTAGTCTGCAACTTTTCTACTGAAAACTGTAAAATCTGCAAGCGTTTGAATCAGAATTGACAGAAACCTGTAGGCCAGACTGTGAACTTCTGGAGCCAGAGAGTCAACTCATATACTCCCTCCCTGTTATTTCCACCAGGAGCACAGATGCCCGTAAATGCACCCAGGCAAATTTAGAGCCTGACATTGGGTTCCATCCTATGACCTCTGACAACTCATCAGTCAAAATATTTCTAGATCTGGAGAGCCTACTCCACATATTGGGCATAGGCCCAGAACTGCAAGTATACCCTCATCAGGTGGGAAAGCCTATCCAGGTGCCAGGGCAAGAATTATCATCTGACATATAGACTGTGAATTTTCTCTTCTCACAGCTTGGCGTCATGTAGAGGCTTACGTGGCGGTAGAATATTTGATCCGTGAATACATAGCCTGGGGGATTTGGTTTAAATCAAATTATAATTAAAACACCAGACAGGAAAAGAAGGCATAATTATTTTTTCCTGCACATTCTTTTCTACCTTGCATATACCCTTAAATATATATTGGGCACAGTAAGAGTAAGGTATCAGTTTCATTTTTGTAAGGTGTAAATTTCCCATTTAAAACAATCCATTTATTATGCTGTGAAATTAACTTTGCAACAACGTCAGTAAGTTAAATGATAGTTCAATGATTATACTTGTTGACAAAAGTATGTAACACTATTTATGAAATCACCAAAAAGTAAATCAACCTCCAGTTCTACAGGCTCTCATCATGGGTATTTGGAGGGGACTTTGTCACGCGCTGTCAATAAAACCATATACAAATGTTCCACTTAAACAAAATAAACTTATCAATGTTAAATGTTTCTGGCGATGGTTAATAAAAAATCTATTTTAATAAAACTAACGTATTTTCTAATATTCATTTAATTTAGATATAAAATATTAATTAGAAAATTTTACAGTATTTTTGCTAGGTCAACACAAGCAATTTAATATAACAATGAGTTGTGTGTCTAACTGAATATTTACAATCTTGTTTATTTACAGATTTAGCAGAAGTTTCTTGCCATTTTTAGAACACAATTTTAAAATTTAGAAACACCTCAACTGAGTTTAGTTCCTTCCAACTACTTCTTTTGTTGTTTTCATAAAGTTATGAGTTTAAAAAATCCTGTGAATTTTTTTTAAAGAGAGATTTTCCTTTGGGGAATCACTCAAAAGATTCTTTCATTCTATTTCCATTCTCCCAGAAGACGGCAAAGATTCAGAAACCATAACAACACATTTGAATCTCAAGATTTAGTGCTTTTAGAGTATTGCACTCAAAAAGTTTCTCTTTGGTGTCAATTATTCCTCTTTTCTTGCACCCATGTCCAAATTCTCCTCTATCCCCCAAGATATAGTATGCCTTTTACAAAAACTAGAAATTCATTAACTTTCTTGAACTTATTCCAATTTAAAAAGATTGAAAATATAGTATGCCTTTTACAAAAACTAGAAATTCATTAACTTTCTTGAACTTATTCCAATTTAAAAAGATTGAAAGATACAAACTTGGTAGAAATACACAAGGTTGATTAGGGTTATCATCTCTCATTGTTACTCTAACCATGTCCTCACTAGAGAAGACTAATTTTCTCTTTTTTCAAAGTATGCTCCTGAAAATTCTAGGATTCTTTGGAGTATTTCTAAGGGCCTCATAGATGTTTGGTTTAAATTTCCATTAAATTTTTTATTCTACTCAGAATAAAGGTTTTATCATCTGTTGTTTTATATTTAAACTTCTTATAAATCTTTTGTTGATTAGAAAGTTATGTCTCGCATTTGGGGTTTGTTTTGTTTTTTGATAATTAAAGCAGCCCAAGTACTCTACATACAATTGTGCAAGTGAGTGTATCACCTCAGGATGTATGCCCTATGCTGAACTAAATGGGAAGTCTTTACTAGTAACATAAAAGGAAAAGGAAAACAATGTGTTTGAATAGTCACTTTATACTGTAGAGACAAACAGTAGTTGTTAATAACACCAGGATTTTTCAAGATGGAACTAGATACTTCCTTATAAACAAATCCACTGGCTGTCCCAAGGTAAGATGTTGCTGCAGCGAGTTCAAATAAGATAATCTCTTTTCCCTTCTTCCCTTATTCTACTAAAATGACTAAAAGAACATTACCTAAACAGTTTTATAACGTGACTCCCTAACAGTTTTATAACCAACTCCATCTGGCAATACAGAACCCTGATGTTATGCTTACAGCAGCAGAAAGAAAAAGTATTAGTAATGAATTTGACCAAATTTGGATTCAACAGGCAAAGCAAAATAAATTTGATCCTGAAACTGTAAGCAAATATTGGTCAGAAAAGGATCTTCAGGTGACTGAGATTTTCTCTATGACATCTTTGCATAATAGCTTATAGTGTTTTAAGACTCATTAAAAAATATTTTCCAAAAAACCATGAAGAGTTACGCCAGATAAGAAACCAATATATGGATTCCCTCTAAATACTTATCAGTTCAGAAATGTAAACACTTGTTAGATATTGCTAGTGAAACAAGTTTTGAACAAAAAAATTCATACTATTTCTGAGCCAAGACTATTTCTGGCCTGTAGAGAATATTATTAAAAACTGCTATTTTTGTGAATCAAACTCTTTTCAATTCTGTGTAACTAAAATAAAGTATGGAAATAAAGTGGACAATATTGGATATAGTATTGCAACTGTCATCCAAAACTTTGATTTTAAAACA